GAACAATCGTTTTTAGAATGTCAGTTAACTCTTTCATTAACCTGCAATTAGCATTTCGATGTTCGTTCAGAACAGCTAAGGCGCAAGCAATGTTTTCGTCAGTTTTCGTTGTGCTTGGTCTTCCACATCTCTGCTCGTCATCAAACGACTCCCTGCCGGATGAAAACTGACTATGCCACTTAAATACAGTAGCATGGGACATAACTAACTCACCATAAGCTTTGATCATCATTTTTAACGTTTCTGTAGCACTTTTTTTTAATTTAACACAACATTTTATTGCAATTCGTTGTTCAAGATTGTTTTCCATATTGAAATTATAACCGCGATCACAAACATACATTCACGACAGATACGGTTATACTGCCAGAAATTATCCTATGCACGTGAACCTTTGTACGAATGATTATGACTGTTATCGTAATAACTTCCCAGAAATTCATAATTATCTAGATACTAGAATTAATTTTAGAACGGTTGACTCAAAACTTATGGAACGCACTGTATATATTGACCGATGCATGAAAGTAAAAAAAAAATAAAATAATGTTAACCTATAAAATAAATTTACTTAACATCAAATGAAAACTGCGTAAATATGCTATAAATAACAATTAAATTGCCAAAATTTGTCAAATGTGTGTTTTGCTCAGAAAACGGTGAAATACGCGAAAATATGCTATTCAAGTTTTTGAATTTCAGTCCATTATGACTTAAACAAACTAGACTATTCTGCAATCATTATTAAACAATATGCAAATGCATGAAGTATCGAACCCTAGTAATTGACATAGATACGTTAATGTCTGATATTTATCTTTCGGATTAACGTAACATAAAGACTAAAAGAAAGTTGTGTCTTTAAAATTGGATGAACCCAATATTTCCTTTCCTACATTTATGTTCTCATTTTTCGGTAGATGACCCAAAAGTATAAGAATTTACCACATCCACTCTCGAAATACATCTGAATAGTACTCAGAGTCGTTTTTAGGGTATATAAAGCCCTAAGGCCTAATACTCAAATAAATCGTTGGTTCTTAAATACATAAAAAGTGTAAAAAATAATTTTTTTAGATGTTTATTAAAATTACAATATAATTAAACAGTAATAAGTAGAGCTAGGAAAATGAAGCACTAAAAACCTACAATAAAGGAATTAAAAAATTGCCAATAATGCTACAAAAAAAAAGCATTTTAACCGGTAAAATGCAACTAAAAAATACTTTTAAGTTTAACTGAAAAATATTTTTAATATCAAAACATAATTTACTAAACACAATTTTATATGTTCACACGAATTATTTCTTAGAACAACTAAGCACAATTTATAAATATTGAAAAAAAAAAATTAAAAACTGTTTTATTAAATTTTAGGTACCTGTTTATTATTTAAATATTCAATAAGACAATAAGATATTATAATTTTCTTTGATATTTTGTATTTTGAAAGAAATTTTGTATTCAACACTATGTTTCTAAAACAAAAATGAATTAAAAAAATTACTATAAAAAACTTAGAATTTAAAATATTATTTAATGTTTATAGATACATAATATTCAATTGCATTTCTATTGTTGCATTGTACTGTTAGGGATTCTTTCAAATTTTCAAATATAAAGATCTGCGATTATCAGTGAGCAAAGTTTTGTATGAAGAAAATGATCTCTCCACGTCCACGGATGTTGTCGGAGCAAATCTCAAATATGTCATATCATCGAGATTTAAGTCTTCTGGCAGTTCCAATTTTGAAACTTCTTCGCTGTACAAAATTTTTGAGACTGTATATATTGACTTCAATCCAGTATTTTTTTCTTAAACTGTCTCCATCTTTGGTTGTACGGCCTTACCAATTTTGTTTTGCACGTTATCAATTGTATTTAGCACATCTAATCATAGGCGGAAATCGAGGGGGCTTAAGGGGACTAAGCCCCCCCCAAATATAAATTACAGGTCTTAATCCCCCTAACCCTATAAATTGTTTAGTGACTAAAAATACAATAATTATTATAATTGTAGAATGCATTTTTAATAACTGAATTAAAAAAAAATATTCTGTGATAAAAATTAAATCAAATTTGTAAGATTTTACAAACTTCTTGTCATGACTTGGAACGATTGCAATTAATATAATATTAATAATATGTAATAATACCTTTATAGGTTGTTCAATGTAATTAATTAATAATTTCTGTTTAGAATACCTACTCTAAAAATGTTTAAGATAAGGCACCTAATTGGTTTTTTGATTAAATTGTTGATTAAAAATGTCAAATTGTCAAACTTCGTAAATTGCCTTGTTGAAATAAATAATTGCGCACAGTGGTATCTATAAGTATAATAAGCAAATAATGCTCAGCCCCCCCCCCCCGCAAATTTCACTAAATTTCCGCTTATGCATCCAATACAATTTTAATTGACTCGGACAGAGGACAACTGGTTTTTTCAAGACACAAAATAGCACTTGTTAATGCACCAAAATTTGATTTTATAAATGTTGAATTATATTTCAGATTAGAATCTTCTATCAAATCATGAACTTAATGTATTAAAATACCATCATCTTCGTCCAATTCAATAACGACACTTCTAATTAAAGAAAAATGTTCACAATAATAAATCGCAGCATTGATCCATGTTCCTCACCTTGTGAGTATGGGCTCTGGAGGTAAAAGAATATTTGGTGCAATACTTTGAAAAATTTGTTCTCGAGATAGAGCTTTTAAAATTTTTTTTTCATATCTGAAATCAGCTGATCAACTTTTGAAACTATAATCTAATTTCCTCGCATACTCGATGCAATGCGTGAGCTACACAAGTAATGTGTACCATTTTAGGATTAAACATTTTAATAGTTTTGCCAGCTTTTACCATATATGGTGCGGCAGGGACGCCCACAGAAATGTAGTTCAGGGGAGGCAAAAAAATTGTAAGTACCTAAATACTTATAGGAAGATTTACTGCTACATATTTCATCTACTCATATTTTGTATTACTATCATTAATAATTTTTTAAAAATCAAAACTCATTTAAGTTTATATAAAATTACATTATTAGTTATTAGTTATTATTAGTTATTAGTTTTAATATTTATAAGAAAAAATATAATAAAGTTTAAACAAAAAACAACTTTATTTGATTGAATTCGCATCATATTTTATTATTTTATTCAAAAAGTAATGACAATCTCCTTTTGTTTGAAGCAAATAAATTAATTGAATCATCATTTATTGATGAAAAAAAATGTTAGATACTTGTTAGATACAAGGATTGTCGAATAGTCACTGAATACCCAAGATCAGCTTTATGTAAAATAACTTCCAATTTTGTAAGGGACGCGAAAATCTCAGGGGGGCAATGGCCCTCACTGCCCCCCCCCCATCCGGGCGTCCCTGTGGTGCGGCATCCGATAAAAATAACAAAATATTGTCATGCCTAATCCCTTCAGGCCATAAAATTAAAAGCTACTTATCAAATAATCGACTTATTGTCGAGTTATCTTAGAGTAAGCTATATCACTTTAACACTTCCGAATTTAAAGGAAATATTTTACCTGAGCTATCAATTTCTAAGGTGTCTATTATTACGTTTGCCACATAACGACCAGCTATATCTGTCGTCTCGTTCATCGATACCCATATTTTATTTTCAGAAGCATTTGCTCTTATATTATTGTTTCTGTGTAGCATTCTGTAACATTTCTTACGCATTGTTGATTGATCTGGTTTAATTTTATTTGTATACTTCTCAAGAAATTTTCGAAATCATGGTTGAGATAGTTTATAAAGCGGTATATTTGAATATAATAGGGCCTTGCATAGATTGTAATTAAATGTGGATGCTGTCGATGGGCCATTTAATAAAGTCTGAGTAGTAGATGATTTTTGATGAGTTATTTTTTCTGTACCCATCATATGTTTATTACGTGCAACATGTTGAGAAATATGAAATTTTTTTTCACCTGCAACTTTTATGTCACAAATTTTGCAATAAAGTATTGTCCCGTCAGTAGTATAAATGTTATCATCGAATTCGCGCACACATGCACGTAAACGACAAGCCAACGATTGTTTAAGTTTAGATATTTTAAGTTTTAAAAATATTTTAAATAAATTCAAACACAAACTAAGTAGGTATTACCTAGTAAGTAGGTAACACCACACGCGATTACATGAAAAAACGACTAACGATTTGTCGGTACAATGTATTAACGATTACTGATATCGTGATTCCGCGAATCGCGATAATACTCCGTACGCTAGGCACTCGAAAATAAACCCCCATGGAAATTCCTAAAATTAGTGAATACTAAATAATATTATTGTAAATTAAAGGCTTGTTCAAACTATGCCAGTAATTTAGTCAAATAGCGAGTATTTTAGTAACTAATCATGTATGAACAGATCGATTTAGTCAAGTAGTTAAGTGAAGTAATTTAGTTTAGTCAATCCATTCTATAGATAGACATAGTAGACAAGTCAATAAATATCGCTCTCATTGCGTCTGAAGTCCAGACAGTCAACGTATTACGTAACCACTACTTCCCGCTCGGAAATCTGACAAAATCGAAAGATCTATTTTCAGGAATATTTTCCGATAAGGCAATAATATTTCATATTTCACTACGAAATCACGAAATATATATATATTAATACAATTAAAATAAATTAATAAATAATAATTTAAATAAAAATGTACATAAATGTATTAAAAGTGTTAAATATGCGTATCATTAACAAAAACTAATTAAAAAGCTAATAAACTGACAAAACAGTACAAAAAAGCATGTAATTACGAATTATAAAAAAAGCAAAAAATGTAAAAATAAAATTGCATATTGAACTCTGTGATGAATGAATCGAATTTTGTTTTTGATTAGCTATGTCCTGGAGTACTATGAAAGAAAATGCAAATGCTACAAAATTCTAGCCCTAGTAATAAGAGAGTTTTATTTATTTTTTTTATTTTTTATTTTTGTATAAATAATAATATTCTTACCTTTGATTACTTAAGCTAAACGATACAGCCAAGGATGCTCCGGTCACAACCAAATTTCCAATCGCGTAAACTACTGACAGATACAAAATTGTTCTGGAAAATTAATGGTAAATCAATATATTAATTTAATAATTGTTATTAAGGCAAAAAAAAATAAAAATGAAAAAAATGTACATCGTAATATTTCAAAACCAATGCCGGATTAACCTATAGACAAATTAAGTACTGCTTAATGACCGCGAAAAAATTCAGTTTTTATATTTTTTTTTTTTTTTTTTTTTACTAAGAAGATTTAAAAATTGTGGATTGCCACACTACGAATATACCTAATCACAGACGAATATATTCGACCATATATCGTTGACAAAATTCGGCCGACAAAAATAGTCAAACTACATCCAGATTTCGGACAAGTAAACAGTTACAACAATGATAGTGATACATTTTATAATGAATACACACATATTTTAGTATTTTATTACAATTTAAATATTCATTTGACTCGGTTATGTATTTATTATTATTTTTATTCATACATAAAATTATTAAAATTGAATTTCTTTTTTTTCAATTTGTAGTTGAACAAAGTGTGTAGTTACACGGTTAGGATAGGTATATACTTTTTTTGCTCTTTATAGCCAATTAGGCCCGTCTGACTTATTTGCTAAAGACCGGCGAAGGAATAAATCTGACACTATTCAAAACGAATGTATAACGTACATAATGATTCTAATCTATATTTAGGCGCTTTAAATTGGAACAGTATCTATCAGAACAACAATGTAAATTCTAAAATATGTTTATTTTATTCAGATATCTTTTTAATCATAAATGATTATGTTTCAAAATTTACATTACTTAATCATTATAACTTTTCTTTATTGTTTAGCCATGAATACATTATTAAAGAAAATAAACTATAACATTTAGCTTTTAAGAAATCTAATCATATTTCTGATTATATTAAATATTTTAACTTAAGAAAAAAATAAAAAAATAATAAAAAATAGGGATTAGATTAAATATACTCGTATAAACAATGTACAAAATTATTTTAACAACAATCCGATATATTTTTGGAAATTTTTTAAAGACAAAAAATCACAAAACACATTAATTTATATTAATTATACACATATTAATTATAATATTTTTAACGTAGATAAAGGACAAGGTATATTTGACCTTTTTAGCAATTTTTTTCAAGTGTATATAAAAAACTCCTACCAAATTTGACACAAATCAATTATACTATAGAATCACCTTTCTGTATTAATAATATTGAGATAACATTAAATGATTTAATGTTATAAATTTTATAGATGTCTTAGATCAACTCGATAATTAATTACGAATTATTATTATTATTACAAAATTATTAAGTTTTTTTCAACTGGTTCTCAAATGGATACTGTTTTTACAGACTTCGAAAAAGCATTTGATAACATATGATTATGAATATACACTAAATAATATCTCTATAGAATCAGTTAAATCATTTGTCGACTTACTATTTTTACTTGCATCGGATAAAATAGCACGCTAGTTTGCTAGTTTACTAGCACATTCAACTAGACCATGCTTTTTTTAATGTCAGATAGTGAACTAGCTTACTAGTTTCAACAGTCATATTGAGAAAATAACAAATAAAGCTTTCTTAAATTTAGGTTTTTATACGCGTAATTGTTCTAATTTCAATAATACGATGGTTTTAAAAATTTATATTTTTCATTTGTGAGATCATAGTTAGAATTTGACCTATTTGCGCCTCGAGGGATGTGTACGGATGAGATGCGCACGAAAGATAAGGTACCTGCCCATTTATAGCCCATATGCGACCATTTCACTTACAACGTTGCCATTGTGCGGTGAAACATGATGCGCCCATCCTATCTTATTACATGAAAAAAACACAACACGATTGCGCCCAGCTAATTAGCTCGATAGCACCCGGTTTTACCTTTTTACCTGCAAAAAACGCAACACGATTGCGCCCAGTGAAGTAGCTCAATAGTACTCCGTGAAATATAAGGTTTGTTGCCTTTCTAACAATTTTCAAATATACTATTTAAAAATACGGTCAGTGTGTAAAACTCAAAGTTTAAGTTAGGTTAGATTATCAATTTTCCATCGAGTATTTATGTTGACAATGATGTGACAAAAGATCTTAGAGTGCTCAATGAACACCATTACCACATAATTTCAGAAAACATAGTTAGTAAACAAATAATAAATTGTAGAATAAAAAAAAAATGTGAAAACGACTTCTTTACGAGACCGAATAAAATAATTAGACAAGAACTACGTAGCACAGCAAATTGTCAGCCCTAAGCTTGTAAAATTGGGAAGGAAAATTGTTAAAATGATAATTTAAACTAATTTAAACTTTGAGATTTACACTCAAATTGTATTTTTAAATAGTATATTTGAAAATTGTTAGAAATGACCTTATATTTCACGGAGCGCTATTGAGCTACTTTGCTGGACGCAATCGTGTTGTGTTTTTTTCGTGGAAAAAGGTAAGTTAGGTTAAGTTAGGTAGAACGGGCGCAATCGTGTTACAGCCGCCATTGTGATTCATAATATAGATTATTTTTATTTTGATAAATACTTTTATACTTTTATTTTTATAAGTATACATTATACAGTAATACATTATGGAATACACAGATTAATTTTTTTGTTAATTATTTTAAGTTTTTCAAATGTTAAGTTTGAACTTCGATTAGGATAGCATGTTTGATAGGTAAGTTTGATGATTTAAAACCGCTTCCCAACAGATATCCGCATAGTGCCATTTCATATAGTTATTTTGGTAACCGGGAATCGATGTCTAAAAATTGCGAAGACTAGTAACTGGATCCGAAAAAATTTCAGGGTTTTTTAGACCCGATAACCAATTTTCCCGGGAGTGGTTTCAAACCCTGATTTATTATATTAAAATACATTTGTATACACTCACAACTTCCGTATCATACTCTAGTTTAGGATTTGTTGTTTGTGTAAAGTTGCACTACATATATAAGAGAGTGTGACGTAAAAATTAAAAATAGTTAAAACTGATTAATAATATGTACTATAGTATTAATTTTAAAAGGTATTGTTTGTATTCCAGAGTACAGTTAGGCAACTTTTTATAGGTTAAATACATTTTAATTTAAAATATTTCGGGCGCAAATGGTTTGCGCCGAGAATTTGTATATCTTATTAAGTATTCAGATAAAATGTGTGCAATTCAAAATTCAGAAGCAGTTCAAAATCGCTTTCTCCGTTTTCTATCATTTCAATTCAAAGTTGTAGGCCTACGACATACTGATTATACTGGTATATTATCATACTTTAATTCAGAATCATTGAACAAAAGAAGAAATTACCTCTATTATACATTTTTATCTAAATTATTAAATAATTCCATTTATTGTCTTTATTTGTTGTTGTTCAATTTTCAAATTTATATTAAATCAACCAGATATAATGACTGTTTTTTAATTAACAATAATTCTAACAATTACTTACGATCTTCAGTTATCAATATTCTGATGTCATTAAGAAAAACTATTGAAATTCATTTTAGTTGATTTCGAATTACATGTTATAAGATATTCGATCTAGGACAAATGTACGCAGTCGTTTGGACGTGGCCGTTTGGATGAGGGGACAAATGGATGTCAAAATATATATATATATATATATATATATATAAATCAGTAAATAAAATAAAAAAGTTATTTATATTTATTATAAGATGTAAATTTTAATGTCAAAAATATTCATTCAAAAAACTTCACCATCGCGATTTAAATTAATGACATTTTGTGTATCACGGTGTTTTTATAAAGTGTAATAATTATTACAAGTTGTAAAAACGAATAAGTTATATATATATATATATATTATTGATATAAAAGGTACCTATTGCCAAAAAAATAAAATTCGATAAGGTGTGACATTATGATACTATGCCATTAGTTATATTATGAACATAAAATATCAATGGTTTTATAACTTATAAATATACCTATATATATATAATTTTTTTTTTTGACGTCCATATGTCCCCACGTACAAACAGCTACGTCCATTTGTCCTTATTCGTAAAATATTGTTACCATTGATTTTGTAATGTACTATACTACTTATTTATTATTTCATTTTAGTTAAACCTGAACCCAATTTCTCATAACCAAGTTCTCTTCTCCCCATCACCCACGTTATTCACAAATGAGTACATTCGATAATGATGTTTTATGCCTCATTCAGAAACTGGCCAAGTGTCAAACAATACAAATAAAATAGGAGAATTGCTCTTTAATGTAAAAGTGCAGTGAATTATGAATTAAAAAATACCAGACTTGGCCACAATGTAGATTTCACTACTTTGATAGGTCGACTTTTTTTTTGGGGGGGGACTTTGGAACTTGGCCTTTTTTCACCGTAAGGTTTTTTTTGGGGATATAACATACTTTGCAAGTGAGTATTGTTCGATAGAGAAATTTATAATTGATAGACCTAATGATAATGATGATTGTATTAATATATAACAATTAGTAATAATACATAAGTACTTATAATATATAAGCATTATAGTTCTTGGTTTAAAAAAAAATAAAAAAAATACTAATAATCCCCAAAAAACCGTTCAAAAAGTAAAAAAAACACCAAGCTCAAAATTAGAACTATTATATTCTAGCAACGAAAAAAAAACTTGTCTAAAAAATGCATTGATAACAACATAATTTTTAATTAATACATAGGTTAAAGAAATGCACACGTGGGTCGTACTAACCATAAATTTCGGGGGGGTTTGAACCCCCAACCCCCCCTATATACACCACTGGCACCAATATAATTTATCTAGTTACGAATTTAGAAATTGTTTTTAGTGATCATATAATTTGTCTATAATTAAAATGTTATACTTATAAAATTATCTATTTTTTACCGAGAATGTGGGAAACAATAAAAATATACTTTGTGGTTGCAACGCATATATTGCTAATGAAAACAAGGACTTTAAAGATATTTTAAAGTCATAAATTATCATTTATAATCTTTATATTTTTTATAAGCAATTTCTTAGAAATGTAATAATTTTTATCCTCTTTGATTAGATATCAATTTATAAATTGGATATACATTTTACAGTTATGTTTTAAAAAAATAATACCACATGCTTATTTATTCGTACCTATAAATACTATATAATTATCAAATAATTTACTTATACTAACATATTTCTATAATATCTTGTACAGTTGTAACCTTAAATATAAATTAAAATGTATAAACTAAACTAAATTCAAAAGTTATAAGGCATTGATGTATAGGAATTAAAATATTACATTATATTATCTTAATTGCTATATAATGTATTGGTACATACTTGAATTTTCCTAGGTAAGAATCGGATATAATAGCTCCAAATATTGGCGAAAAATAGGCCAAGAAAACTATTAAGTGATAAATAATAGTAGATTCGTCTTCGTCATATTGCAATATTGATGTAAGATATAAGACTAAAACAGCTGAAAAAGAAATTTCATAACAAGAAACATGAACTAATACTATTTAGGTACCATAAAAATAAAAACATACTCCGGAGTCCATAGTAGGAAAATCGTTCACAAAACTCGGTGCAGATAATAAACCAAACTGATTTTGGATATGCCTATTAATACAATTATACTTATTATTAATCATTTAAATTTATAAAAACATTTCTTATACATTTTGCTGTATTAAAATATTTTATTTATTTAATGAAACCACTATAACTCTATTTAACGGATTATTATATATTCCCATTATAAATAATTATAGTTTTATAATAAGTATAATTTAATACTTTAGTGCTCTTTTTACTGCTAATACTACTTGTGTTTATTTATTTTAATGCCTCAGTCAAAAACAATTATTGATTTAATTTAGAGTATAATTGCTTTGTAAACACATTTCTTAATATTTTTCAGATACAAATGTTTGTTCATTATGTATCAGTATAAAATAATATTTATTTTCTACGTATAAAAATATAAAACAAAAAAAAAATAATGATGTATAACATAAATATTAGTTAGAGTGCTTATTATAAGGTAAATATTAATTTTTATTTCATAATTAAAATAATGAAAATTATGATTGGGTATTAAAATGTAAACATGTTAAACATGTAATTAATATTAAAATTACTCGCACTTTAATATCTTCTTTATGTAATATTATGAACGTATTTTTAAAATAATTGTAATATAAATGAAATTATTCATCTTTTTTTCAATATCAGGTAAGACCTATAAGCTTAGGCTTATATTAAATATTACAGAAATGTATAAAATTAAATTTACATAAATTCTAACCTAAACAGAACTTTTAAGACAGTGAATAAATTAATTTAATTAATTTGTTTTTGATTAAGTAAATAGTATTTACTCTGATTCAAAATGCATCGATAATATTTTATAAAATATAAAAATCTATGCTATTTTTAAAGTTTAAAAGAAAATAATAAATAAACCATAATACTAATTTTTAAAATGCATTGTGGTATATACTCTGACATAATGTCCCGCACAATAAAAAATTATATTTTTGGTATATTTTAATAATTTAAAATAATTTAAAAACAATTTTACTGAGGACGATGATTGTTAAAAAGCTATGCCTCCCCATCTACCTGTTTTGAAAAACGATGAGTCTTGTCTTGACAGAAAAAGTATCCTTAACTAAAATTTGAATAAAATATTTTCAAACGAAATCTTAACTAAGAAACACGGTTGATAAAAACGACATGCCTTCCACGTCCAATAATGACTTCAACGTTATGATAATCGGTAGACAGAAAACGTGTATTTAATAAACTCGTTTTTAATTTTTATTAACTTTTAAATTATTACTACTCCAGCAACTCTGTAAAATAATATTTTTCATGAAAATTATAGTAATAATTAAAGGAAAAATAATAAAAATTTAAATGAATTTCAAACTCAAACTTTAAAGGGTAATAGAAAACAAATAACATTATGTCTAATTACACAGTGATTCAATTATGATCAAGAAAATTACTGTTCTCAAAACCTAGTCTAACCTAACCTCTAGCCTAGACTGACAAATCGAAAATTCGTAAATTTGTCATTGCCCTTTTAGATCGGAAGCGTCTGGTCTTTTCTTCCCTAGCTTACATTTTCTAGATTATATTTTTTTTTTTTTTGTATTGTCTCCGCGTATGTACTTCATCGCCACCTTACAATTATTTCTCAATATTATAAGCATGAAAATTCTATTTACTTATATTTTATCAAATTGCACATATACGGCATATAGTATAATAGATATTTTGAGGAGCAATATACAATATTTTTATTTTTAAATTTATTATTACAAAAACCGGTTTACTAGTCATATGGATAATCTTCTTATTTTTTTTTTTTTTTATGACCTATTATAAAGAGCACTTTCATTCTTATTACTATTATTATTATTATTATTATTATATTATAATAATAATAATAATAAAACTGTCAAAGATTATACGTTAAAAATATGTAATTTGATATAAATATAATAAATAATCATTAAATGTACCCAAATATTTAATAAATATCTATTGTTATAATCAAAATAATGGAAATAACACATACGAATATATGTACAGGCGTATACACAAGAAATATTTTGTAAGGAGTTTCAGGTTGTACATTTTCATAATTATATAATCTATATACCACTTTTACTATATATAAACATATTTAATAATTTCCTAGAATTTCGGGAGGAGTTTAAATCCCTAAAACCCCTCTTTGTGTACACGCCTGTATATATATATATATTGTACATAAATCATTAATTATGTTACATTTAACTTCTATTCGACGAATTCTATACATAAAAAATATAAAATACAATAGAATGAATACTACTAAAGATTAATTAATAATTAAGAAATTCGAAGAAAAGTATTTTATCTATAAAGTAAGTTTTCTTAATTTTATTTATTTTTACTTTAAATTGTTTTATAAAAATATATACAAATAATTATTGTTTTCGCATGAATAAATATTTACGTTTTAAACTGTATAACAAATCTAAATTTAAATTTCTTGAAAAATTATTAGTAGCTTTCGATTCGATTTGATAAAACAAACTTAGTTGGAATAAATTCTATGGACAACAATTAAACATGTATGCATGTAGGTTTGAGATAAGTGATTGGTTGTTTTTTTCAGAAGATGAAAATTGAAAAGTTAAAAACTTGAAAGTATTCTGCTCATTAACATATTATTAATTGATTGCTTCAATTACAAATCCGTATGTTAAGAAGACGAGAAAATAATATAATACAAATGTATTAATATTTATTAATAATGTGTAATTTATATTGCTGTATGCAGAAAATTATTTATTTATAATTTTTGGCTAATTTTTTTCTTATCATTAATTTAGAATTATTTATTTTTATATGTTTTAAGTAGGTAATATAATTATTATAATAAAACATAAATTTACAAGCTGAGTATTAAATTCAGATTAATCATAGATACTACGTTGTATTATTATTTAAACCTTTATATAAGTATTATAAATATTTCTAATAAATCAAATAAAAATTAATTAAACCTATATAAAACACTTACCATTATTTAAAAATAATATTTTTGACATAAATATATGATCGGTAATTAATGTTGCAAATTAAAAGTTTTCAGAAATAATTAAAATTCTTTATACACTGTCAAATATTAAATATTTTTAAATTTATATTTAATTTATTGAATTATTTTGTTGATAAGTTTAATATTTAACTAAAATATATAATTAATTATGAAATATTAATAATGGTTTTAATTATATAATTAACTAAACGTATTCAATTAAAATTATTAAAAAAAAAACTGTAAGCGTGTCCACTTTCTCCGAACTATAAATCATTACTGATACCTAAGTGATAACTGTAGTAAGTGCCAAGTAGGACACTGAAGACTGACAACAAATAAAAATACAGATGCATAAACCTAAATAATAAAGCTATCATTAATATTTGTAAATTAGTTTTCATTCAAGGTCAAAACCTAGTTAACACAAACCAGTTCCCCCTACTTAATATACTACATATATAATATATAATAGGTATACATCTATATATAATATACAAATAAATAGGAAAATAACACGACTGTGAAAATTAGAAAAAATAATTTTGTTCATTTGAATTGTTAATACTACAATATAGGGACTATAACAAGAAAAGTTTAGATTTATACCCATTTCATACATGGCTAGTGAACATTTTTTTAAAATATCTATAAAATTATATAGTATTTGAAAACTGACAATGATTGGAGTATAATCGTGTGTTCATAAAATTAGAGAAATATTTTTTATCACAAATATTCAAATTTCAACATTAAATAACACAATTTTAAATTTTAGTTTAATTACGTTTACAATTTTAACACAATTCACCCATAGGCGTGTATATTAAAAAAATATTAAAAAAAATGTAAGTAATACTTATTCATACATTATAATTTGTAATATATTATATTTATTTTATATATTTATTTAATTTTTATTTATTTATTATTTATTATATATTTATTAAATATGTACATACTTTGTTAAGATAGGACTTAAATTACGAAAAGAGCCCAAAAATATTTTAATCCCCTCCCTGAAATTATCGTCTGCGCACGCATATGAATTTACCATATTATAACTTAACTGTACATTATAAGAATTATCGATCGCTTACGGTCATCATTTCAATGAAGCTTGGTAAATCACTTTCACCTAAACAATTTATTTTTAATTTTTTTTTATTCAAATTTAGTAATAATTTTTATGTAATATTTATTTAAAAATTGTAAATAGGTATCTTAAATTGTATTATCGTTTTTCAATTGACAGATTATTTTATACTTGAGTATTATTCAACGATTATAAAATAGTTTTTATTGGAAATAGAAAATAATTACACTATTCTTATTTTAATATAAATTTCTGATTTCAAGTAAATATTTAAAAAAATGTTGTCTATGTACATTTTTTTTATAATTTCTTTAAAGCGAAACATTGCTTGTCAAAATACAGTCTATAGAAAGAACAGATGATGTCAGTCTTAACTCATTCATCATACAATGGTTTTTATATTTAATCATTGATACCTAGTATAAAAAAGATCAGTCACTTTCATAGTTGGTAACTGATATACTTAAAAATAAATTTGTGGTCGAAAAAGTAAAGTCGGGTCACGTGCACTTGCACACATACGAGGGTGTCAGGGAGTAAAAAATATTCTTTTAAAAAAATTATTTCGCGTTTATAAGAATGAGTTTATTCCAGTTTGCATTGACGTTTGACAGTTGTCATTGACGTAAATTGTACATACGTTATTAATGTATGCAGTGGCACGTTTAGGGGAGGTGCAAAAGGAGCAAGTGTCCCAAGTGGAAAATTCTTGGATTTAGCACATAGGCGGACATCAGGGGGGGGGGGCTTGGGGGCTTAGCCCCCCAAATATTTGTCATATTTAACTTGTTATTTTCATTGTTTGCTGCAATGGATCTATTATCCACATAATACCATGTCTAGGGTCTTTCCATTTCCATAGATGTATACAACAACTATTAACTATTTTTTTATTGTAGACAATTTATTATTTTAAAATTCGACTATTTATTGACTATTTACTGACATAATTGTATTTCATATCTTTTTATATTGTAAACAATTTATTATTTTACTATTTTACTATTTGTTACTGCAATCTTGTAATTATACTTTTAAAATAAATATTAAACATTTTGTGAACCAATGTGTGTCTGGACGCAATCGGGATACTTATATTTGGGATAAAATACGACTACTTGGATTCGGGCCGCAATCGGGCAACTCCGATATATTCATGGCCGGCGGAAGGCATGTGCGGGCTGTGTATTCGTATGGGGCGGCAATATTGTAAGGACCGAAAAATGACCGAGATTATTTTCAATACTTATAGTTACTAAGACTTAAATTTAAAATTTTTCACTGTATTATAAACAAACAGAAAATATTAATGATTTCGCAAATGTCAGGACAAGAAAAGTGTTTCAATAATAGTTCGAATCACTATTTTTATAATACCAATAAAAATTATAAATAAAATAAATATACTCTAAGTAACTTTCATTTCTATTTTTTAGTATAATTTATGAACATACGACTGAGATAATATACTCGTTCGCACAATAGGTACTTATTATTGTGTATTATTTGCACCAAGCATTACGTACATCAATACATAATCATGGGTCATACTCGTGTGCATTGTAATTTTTTAATTATTTCCCATTAATTATTTAAATTATTTCTAAGTCATCTCATAATGATTAAAATAATTACAACATGTTAAGTTACATGAGACTTAAATATTTATATAATTGTGATAATCTTAAATTTATTTTTGCACGAATAAAAAATAACTGTGTTCGGGCGGCATTCTTATAAATTGGCACATTTTTAATATCGACCCTGCATAAATATATATATATATATATATAGGTCAGCCCCTGAACTGGAAGTGTACACTACGGATTCGAAAAGTGTGTACCTATTAAATACTAATAAATAAGATTACTATGAAGGTGTTTTCCAAGAAACTAGTTTAAGCAAGACAGCTGATGAGGATTTAAATTTATCTATTACATTTTAAATTATATATTTTGCATTAAAATAAATAATTTGTAAATAGTTTCGCGATTTATACCAGACAAAACTATATTTTCAGTTTAAAAAATAATAATAATTGGTAATTATCGAATAATAATGTGCAATTTTATTATAAAAAAGAACTATTACTAAAAATTATTACTGATATTGTACTAAAAATTATAATCATATGGAAGGGGGTAAAAAGCCCAGTTATCATTGAACATTAAAAAATGTGTAGTACACATTTTTATAAAAGTAGAGGTTGATATATACCCACAGATATATATATATTAATTGTTTTATATATCTGTGGATATACCCAGGTATTATAAATCTATAAGTGTATATAAATGCATAAAAAAATGATAACTTTCTAACAAAAATATTAATATAATTTTTATATCAGTTATAATTGTAGAAACACAAATAAACAACATAGAAACTTTAACGTCCAAAGAGTATTAAGGTAATGAAATTATCAATTTATGCCTTTAGTAAAATAGAAAAATTATTATTTATAGATTGAATAATAAATGCATGCATACTAATTTCTTCAAAATTGCATAATTGTAATGGAAGCAATTTTTTACAAGTCTTAGAATAAATCTAATAAACTTTTTAGTTTACACTATATAAAATAAAAAGAGTCCACTGGAAAATGATGTATCTTAATTATGAGATTTAAAAAACAATTAACGCTTTCAACTTAATATTATTATCATACAGAAAGCAGAAGTATATTAATGAAATATTATATTAAAAATAATTGCTAAATGCTATTTAATATAACTTTACAGCAGCGATTCCCAAAGTGTGTGCCGCAACGCCCTGGTGCGCAACGATTTTTGTTCAGGGGCGCCGCGCCGTTATGGAAACTATCATATTCATATAAATGAATACTATCTGGTCTAAAAATTTCCGTATAATTAGTTATTCTGTGATTTAAGGAAGGGTGCCCTGAAAAAACCTTAGATCATAATAGGCGCCGTGGGACAAAAAAGTTTGGGAAGCAATGCTTTAAAGTCTAAGACAAAAACTCGATTTGAAATTTTTTTTTGATTCGCTATAATTGTCTAATCTAACCTCACTTAAATTTATAAAAATTATAGACAACTAAAATGATTATTTATCAGGCTTGTATGATTTGAATTCCCTTTTTTTTAGTGTCTTACAAAAAAAATTAAATATGGGAATTAAGTTTATAACCTCTTTGGCTAGTGAGGTTATAAATGGGTTAGATGATTACATTATGCGTTTACCGACGTTCCGGTTTAGTACCGTTCAACACTGGCGTTTTTTTTCGTCAATTGTTTTACATTGTAATTCGTTTATATTTCTGAGTGTAATTTAATTTTTCTATTGAATTTAACTTTCTTTAGATAAAATGTAATATTGTTTCATATTTTCAGTAGTTAAATATCAAAAGTAAGTTTTTTTTTTTTAAAGTATCATTAAACACATTTTATTATATATTTAACTAATTATATATTTTTCTAAATACATACTTTAAATTGAATAGATCATGTCTATTCCACCTTTTATGTTGGGAGGAAACCCATGGGCGCAAATGATTGTACAACAACAACAACAACAAATTGCTGTTGTGCAGGCACAAGCACAAGCCCAAGCTGCCCATGCACAAGCAGCTGCTGTACATAATATGCATGTTGCTCAACAAATGGCAATGCATCAAATGTCATCAGCTCCACCACACAGAATACCTGAACCATTAAGTGAAGAAAAATTACAAGAAAAATGTAATTATTGCATATTAACCTATGATTATTATTTGTAATTTATGTTTTTCATACACAGCACAAAAATGGCAACAAATTCAGTCTAAAAGATTTGCACCCAAACGAAAATTTGGTTTTGTTGATGCACAAAAAGAAGATATGCCTCCTGAACATATTCGTAAAATTATCAGAGATCATGGTGATATGAGCAGCCGAAAATATCGTCATGATAAAAGAGTTTATTTGGGGTATATATTATAATTCAAATATGATGTAAATTTGTGATAAATAGTCATTCCTATCTACTTTTTCGTGTCAAATTAAATAAATTTAATTTTAAAAGTAA